TTCGGGTATCCGCGGGTTTGGTTTTGGTGATGGATTTCCACCCGAATCGGTTTTCAGGGCGGATTCGGGTTTCGATTTCGGGTTTCGGTTTTGGGTGCACGGAGACTCCACCCGATCCGAACCCGACCCGTTGTCATCCTTAGCGACCATCGCTTTCTATACAACTGTTATGATTTAGAGGTCGGCCCTGTCCCGCTGAAAAGTACGGTTTACTGAATCACGGTGAGAGGAAAAAGCTGTATCGTGGTTGATAAGGCAGACTAATAAGTTACCGTTCTTAATCGCATTGTATGCAGCCTAAACAGGAGGGCAGAAGACACTGTGGATACACGTGGGTGAATTAGGAGGGTTTAACTTTGGTCTGTCTGATGACTCGATTGGATAGAACTGACCGAAATAAACAATGCAGAGCAGCTTTTGTTCAGTCAGCGTTTCCAGCACCCGGACGTGCACGCAAACTCTTCAATTTTTCCTATTCCTTGTTGACGAGACTACTTTACCTGAACATGATTTTATATATTTTTGTTGTTGTTGCATCGAAGCATGTAATTAAAAATGGTTGGAATTGGAAGGAGAAACGAGATTTAAATTTTCATTGCATCAGGACTGACTTTCTTTTCCTTTTCCTTTTAGAAAAAAAGAACCGCGTTTATACTATACACGTTTTAGCTATGACCAGTTGATCAATTTGTTGCGGTAATGAACAACACTGGCTGCTTTACTAAATTATCTGTTTGGGTGATGTAGTTTTCGAGAACTATATAACTGTAGTGTTATAAATTAAAGAGATTAAAAATAATTTAGAAAAAAACAGTTCTGAGGACAGTTGTTAGAACTTAAAAAAGATTGCACTTTTGGCAAAATTATGGTTTTAGAAACTATAAAAATTATTGAATCAGAGATCCGGCAGATTTTAATAAAAATCAAAGTATTTCTCTAATACTCAAATAATATTTTGCATCTAATCTAAACAGGAGCATCTCCAGAAGTTTTATAAAAAAATCCGTATTTTGATTTTTTAGAATAAAAAGGTACCCCCAACAGTTCGGTAAAAAGGCTCCTTAATTAAAAATAAAAAGTTGTCGAACACTTCAACTCGTAAGTAGACGTATGAGTAAATTAATAAAATAAATGGTTCCAGATGAGAAAGTAGCAAGAGATAAAGAAATTAAAAGAGTGTAGTTAGTTAGAAATAGTTTTGGGTTCCTAACACAAAATCTTATAGAACATTATTATAGCAGACTGTTGAACAAGAACATGACTTAAAAGTTGTTATTTTTTCTGTTAATTTGCTAGATCTGTTAGTTTAGTAAGTAAACTATATCAAACTTTTGGAGGTGTGACCAGGAGACCGGTGGCGCTGATCTGGCTGGGAGGCCGATCTGGCAGGGAGGAGTGACGGGGGATCGAGCCCCCTGTACTCCCAGCCTTCGTCCTTCCACCAATCATGTGTCGCCTGCCTATATAGCCACTATATCACCCACTTTCACTCCTCGCTCCCGAGACCGTCCATGCCACACAACTGGCGCCATCCGCCAAAGACTCGGCCACACACCCTAGATCGGGTGACTTGGGTTATTGTCATTGCTCCGAGCTATAGCCCTATCTCCACCACCCTTGAGTTCGCTGATAAGGCCTCCCCATGTTACCCTGCGCAACCACACCGATGCTCCGCCCACGGCTACCCAAAGACAAAAGACGTCATGTCAATTGGGGTAGAGTCCATTCTCTCATTTTTGCTGGAACATACTCGCTTTGAATCTTCATCGAATATTCCAACTAATGGTATCGACCCGTTCTACTCCATCCATGGGCAAGCACTGGGTGGATGGAGGGTCTCCCTATCCTATCCTTGTTTGTCCTTAGAATTAAATAGTCACCCATCCTGTTCATGCGAGGGGTTGTTTGGTTGGCCTCTAGGCAACCTTGTTTATTAGGAGCTACAACCCAGACATCTGTTTGTTTAGAGGCCTCCCAGACAACTTTTAGTCCATGCAACAATTTTAACTTCAGACCTCTAAAATCAAGGGGTGGTTTGGTTGAAGCCCTATTGCGAGACAACTTGGCCAGACATCTATCCCAACTTGAAGCCTCCAAAATTCAACGCATGCTCCAACCAAACACGTCCTAAGGGGCTATTTGGTCTTCTGATCTAGGAACCTTGCCTAGGGCAAACATGGCTCCAAGATGTTCGATTTTCGAGCGACTGTGGGATGAATGCACTTGTCTGGGCGAGAGACCCCATGTTAGGACGTCATCCAAACATGCTTTTGACTGCGTGGGATTTATGCCTAGGTCAGCCAGACAGCTCTGTCCTACCCGAGCTTAAATCAAACATGCTAATTTCAACTACCTAGGACCACGAGGGCAAGTATATTGACGCTGCCACGCTGCCTTCATACAGTGCCAAGTAATTTAAGACGACTTAATTGACATACGTAGAATGATTGTCTTATAAGTTTTTTCACAGTAACTCATAATTTCTTAATTTATGTATAGAATAAAAATAAAGTTGTGAATTGCATGACAACAACTAATATAATGGTACAACAGTTGTTTCACATTGTCTTAAATTTTAGCTCATCAGACGGTTGTTTCGCGAAACCATGACCTTTTTGTTCTCCCCTCCCTCTTTCCTCCATATCAAATTCTACGTGGCGGCCTTTGCTCCCTGTTCTGTTTGGATCCTCCGGATTTTAAGAATCCGGATCGAAAAAATCGCACGTCCTAGATTCTCATCCAAACGATTTATATTTTAGGGTTAATTAGATATACGCCATAACAATTATGTTGTTTTTAAAGCACGCTATTACTATTTATGAAACTGTGCCAGTGCCATTATAGTTCTTGTGAAAGCTAAAACATGCCATTTTATACGTTTGCGACGTATTCGGGCCCACGTGCAGGCGTATGGACAATTTTGTATTTTCTTATGAACCAAAATACCCCTCCCAGTCTATTGAATAGTAAAACCCAAAATATAAGACTGTCTCCAACAACCGCGACCCAAAATATAAGACCCATTCGTTCTTTGGGTAGCGCTACATGCAAGGTGTTCAATACATATTTTTGGTCTTCTCCAACAATAAGACCAAAAGACAATCCTTTTTGCAAATGGGTCTCCAGGAGAGAGGATACTCAGATTTGGGTTATGTCTCTCTTAGCACCCAAAATGAGTCTTTCATATAGGTACTCTGTTGGAGTCTATAGGTATTATGTTGGAGGCCCATTTTGGGTTTGGGTTTCGCAATGGGTCTCCTGTTGGAGATAGCCTAAGGGGATGACACATTGGGCCTGCCTGTAAGTGAGATAGAGTGAGAGAGGGTATTTTGGTCTATACGAAATACAAAATTGTCCGTACACTTGCACATGGGCCCAAAGACGTTATATACGTATATAATGCCATATTTCAGCTTTGACGAGAATTGTAATGTTAGTAATGGTGTGTTTCAGAAACGGTAAAGTTATAATGGCACAGATTCAATTAGCCCTATATTTTATAGGGATTCTCACATATTTTTTAGAATCTTGAAATCTAAAAAAACTGTTGGGATTTTTTATATGGATGCACAAAACCCCTTGCAATCCAAACGTCACCTAACTCAAAACCACTTGCAATCAAATAAAACTGTTGGGATTCCTTTTAGGGTTAATTGGATTCATGCCATTATAATTTTTGATGTTCGAAGAAACATCATTACTATTCGTCTATTTTGAAGTATGTCATTATAGGGGCCGTTTGCTGGTCTTATAAGACCAGCCGGCTGGCTGATCTCTCCTCTCAATGCACTGTTCATCAAACCGGCCAAACAGTATTTTTCTCTCACAACAAATCAGCCGGAACAGTGTTTTTCAGCCAAGTTTCAGACCAGCGAACGGGGCCATAATTCTTCGTTTGCCACAAAAATGCCACTGAATACGTATGGACATAGCCTGAGCCCAGCTGCGGGCGTATACGAAGACGTATGCTTCATCTCCCTGTCACTGACACGCGGGCCCCACCTGTCATCTTCTTCTTCCTCTCCTCATCTCTCTCCTGATGGGCGCATCGAAGGGGTGTGGGCGAGAGCCGCCATTAGCAGTGTGCTCGACGGGAGGAGTGGAGGGATGGGGGCGACTGAAGGAGGAGGCTGTAGCTCGCCCGCGTGGCCGCGTGGTCTTGGCGGCTGCTGCACGCATGGCCATGGCGGGCCAGAGCTTCTCCGCCTCGATCCCCGATGAGGCCATGGCGGGCGGAGCTGCTGCACGGCCATGGTGGGTGGAGCTCACGCGTAGCTATGGTGGGCCGAAGCTCCCGCGCCTCGAGCTCCGCTGGCGCCACCAGGAGTGGGCAAGCAGCAACAGCTCGTGGAGCCCCATGACGACTTGACGAGGCGGAGCTTCTTCTCGCGGTGGCCGGAGCTGGAGGCGGACGCGCCATCGTCCCCGTCCGCGGAGCTGACGCTCCGGCGGTTGGAGCTTCGCCCCTGGGGCTGCTGCTACTGCTGCTCTAGGCGGAGGAGCTCTGGCCCGCCAGCTCCGCCTGCCGTGGCGTGCGCCATGGCCGCGTGGGAGCTCCGCCCACCATGGCAGCGCGGGAGCTCGAGGCGGAGGAGCTCCGGCCCGCCATGGCTGCGCGTGCTGCTGCTGCTGCGGCTCGCCGTGGCCGCGTCAGGATGGAGAGAGAGAGGAGGAAGAAGAAGATGACATGTGGGGTCCGCGTGTCAGTGACATGGGTGATGAAGTATACGTCTTCGTATACGCCTGTAGCTGGGCCCAGACTGTGTCCATACGTATTCAGTGGTATTTTTGTGGAAAACGAAAAATTATAATGACATGCTTCAAAATAAATAAATAATAATAGCGTTTCTCCCTACGTCGAAAATTATAATAGCATGAATCAATTATCCCTTTCTTTTATCCGCAATATACGCCTTAGGATCCAAACGGCAGGTCGATTTGAACTGCCTACTTAGGGCCAGGGTTGCTTGCCGCACGCTACAGTCACTCACACGCAGGCTATGGAGGAGGCATCAGCGAGGGAGCGGAAGAGGCCGCGCGAGGGCGATGCGAGCGAGGGCGACGCGAGGATGCGCGAGGTATGGAAGAGGCTGCTCGAGGCGGCGTCCGGGAAGCCTCGGTACACGTACCTGCCTATCGCCGACACCCTCAAGGTTCCCGGCGTCCGGGTCTGCCTCTTCGCCGTCGTCGCTGAGATCGGCGCCGCCGTCCACAGCCGTGGCACGGGTGAGCCTCACTCTCAACCCCTCCCCTCCTCTCCTCTCCTTCCGCGCCGCGCACCCGCCGTCGGCCTCATCTTAGGGTTTAGTCCGGATTTTAGCAGGATAAGAGTTGGCGGTTTGTGCGTAAGCTGTTGCAGGCTGTATGCTTCCTTCTTCAGTTATTCTTCAGTCTGATTCACCTGGTTTGTTATCGGTTGCAAAGGCTGCGGAGGCAGGGAAATTTGTGGGGTTCCGTTGTGATTTTTGCTGTGAGGTTAGATAAGTATATATATTTGGAAAGATTTGTTGAATAGTGTTGATTAGGATTAGTTCTCTGCTCAAATGCTGCTTGCCTATTGTGGGGACACATGCTTGTCCGCTTGTCCTTGGATCGCCTCTTTCACAACTTTTTGCATGAAGCATTATGCGTTGAGACTTGAGAGGGACCTTCTGTTGCCGTGTTCATTGCTAAGTCTCGCTTTTGATCCTCAAATCAATGCTAGAACCCTTGATCATGGCTATAGTTTTTGCAGATTTCACTGTTACGTTGAGGATTGTGGATGAATCACGCAAGGCTGGAATATCTGCAACATTTTTTGCTGACAACACTGCCCTATTGCCCTGTGTCAAGTCAAGTGGAGATGTGATCAGTCTCCACGACGTCGTGGTACAACATAAAACTCTATTTAATTATGCCATTAGTCACTGGGTATTTCTCAGAGTTATAAAATTTCCACATGCCTTTTTATATGTGTTGTTATTTAAGCCTATTTTCTTTTCTCATCATTTTTGAAATTTTAGTGACACATTCTGCAGCACCTAGTTCATGCCTACTTTGATCTGCAGATACAGCATCATGGGGAGTTCTGTGTTACATTTAACAAAAAGTTTTCTTCATTTGCGCTGTTTGAAAGCAAAGTATCTGCTGAGTGCAGCCCATATCAGACTTCTATGAAATGTCATGGCAGGAAACATGACAAAGAACTGTTAACCCAGATGAGAACGTGGCTACCCAATAATCCTCTAGGTAACTCCTAATCGATAATTATATGTAGGATCAAATAGTATAGTGTAGCCATTCTATTTGTGAACTCTTCTTACCCAAAGGAGTTACATATTTTATAAATTATGAGTGCAACAGAACTTGCATTATCTCATTTTAGCCCTTAGTTAAGGTCGGTCTCTGCTTTTGATCTAGTATGCAAGGTTAGTTCTTTATTCAATCATATTGAAACTCAAGACTTATTTTGGTACAGGGAGTGCTCCAAAAATTCTCTCTGCCTTCTTGTAGGTTTTGCATGTCCGTGAAAATAGCGGCAAATGGATATTTTATGTTTGGGATGGAACTGATACCCCTGCAGCTGAGTTTCAGGCAATGTAGGTTTGTCTATGTTTATTTATTGTTTCTAATTTTTCAGCAATAACATAGAAAAAATCTATGCAATAAGGGTGGTGCTCTAGTGTTTTTGAAATATTGTTGCAGCTTTTAATCTTTATTTGGTTGTTCTTATATGGTGCACTGAACTTAAGCATAGTCAATGAAAAGAAAATTAGTTTTATCTTCGAAAAACATTTGCTGACGTCAGTCACGTCATTATTTTCACTTAATTGACATGTTTTTTTTGTGTGTGCCTCTCTGCTATTGATTGGTGAACGTGTATAGTTCGGATGCTGAGGCAGTTGAATCACCCCTTCTACTTGAAGGACTACCTCTACCCAGGGAGGTTTTATGCACAATGCCATGTGTCGGAACTGTTCTGAGGATTTTTTCAGACAGGTCTGTCAATAAAGTATTACACATGCAAAAGGGTATTTATTGGGCCAGGTTCTGCAACATTACTTGCAAGCAAGAGTTTGGCATTTGGAAAGGCGTTTTCTTGTACTCTAGTAGAGTTCGCCTTTTATCTCATGAAGATGGTAGCGTTGTTGATCATCTGAAGTAATTTTCTTTTCTGATGAATTTTACTGTTCTGTGGACATCGTATAAGTAAACTTTACCAATTACATGAACACCTCCAGGATGTATGACAGCCGCAACGCCAACAAAGTTCACCGCCAGCCGATGGCAAGCTTCCCCTCTAATGTTGCTGGTATAGAGCCTAGTAGTCTGATAGTTTGCATTGCTCCTCTGAATCACTGATGAACATATTCTGTTTCATCGTTCAGATCATGAATTTAGCTTCGGATTCAGCATTTAACTGATTAATTAAAATAGCAATATTTAAGTCTGTTCATTAGGCCTTATCTTCATTGTTACCTGAATAAGTGTATACTATAGCATTCATCCGTTCTATTTGCATATGAAGGTTATTGTGCATAAAAACAAACCTCAATATTTTTCTCGTGTGGTATGTGTGTATAGTAATCTAAATGAAGCACATGATGATCTTGTCAAAGTGCTTGTTTACATGTGTTGTATTGATGAACCGCTGCATATAGTTGTAATGCATTTTGGCTGCCATCTGTTGCCCACAAAGGCTTTCCTCATGACAATTTGTTATCAATTCTGTCAGATGTAGAATATGAGAAAGCTGGTTACTCAACGTTGATGGAGTCTTTAACTCATCATGAGGTATTACTTCTTTCCCATTTTTCTCCAGTTATTTATTAGTTTTATTTCTGTTTTTGATTTGGTCTAATATTATCCAACACCCCTGAGAACATGCGAGCATGTTTACTTTCAGTTGTATCCCAGTGATTTATCTCTCCCTTTTCATGAGAAAACTATATATTTTGCTTCCTTAGTAACACAGAACCATGAGTGTTCTGAACTCTGACTCTAAAGCTAACCAGCTTCAATATCTCCTTTTTCTTTTGTGGTAGGTGACGCACAAATTGAAAACCTTGGTCCGTGTTGTGGCAGCATATCCCTGTCGAGCTAGTGAACTCCGTTGCTTTCGACTCGTAAATATTGTATTCGGTTGACTCTTGAGGATCCTACAGCGAGAATTCATGCGTATGTCCATAAGGATAATGTGGTAATATGTTACTAAATAACCCTTATGCTTGATTTCCTTGCCTAGACCATCCCAGGTGTCCACATTCATCACTAGTGAAAAAAAAATCAGTGTTGGTGGTAACATAGTTATGGACGCTTAAAAGTCTTGCTGAATTAGGTGATCATGTCTTCATCTAAATCCTTGGCAGGTCAAATTCTTCGGTGGTTTTATGACAGAAGAAGTGGTCATAAAAAAGATGAACAAGCTACTGGGCGTCCCAGAACCAGAGGACAGCGAGGAAGTTGCCCCCTTGACCAGGAATCCACCTTGGATATGGTGTTGCTTGATATCATCACTAGTGAAAAAAAAATCAGTGTTGGTGGTAACATAGTAATGGATGCTTAAAAGTCTTGCTGAATTAGGTGATCATGTCTTCATCTAAATCCTTGGCAGGTCAAATTCTTCAGTGGTTTTATGACAGAAGAAGTGGTCATAAAAAAGATGAACAAGCTACTGGGCGTCCCAGAACCAGAGGACAGCGAGGAAGTTGCCCCCTTGACCAGGAATCCACCTTGGATATGGTGTTGCTTGATATCATCACTAGTGAAAAAAAAAATCAGTGTTGGTGGTAACGTAGTTATGGATGCTTAAAAGTCTTGCTGAATTAGGTGATCATGTCTTCATCTAAATCCTTGGCAGGTCAAATTCTTCGGTGGTTTTATGACAGAAGAAGTGGTCATAAAAAAGATGAACAAGCTACTGGGCGTCCCAGAACCAGAGGACAGCGAGGAAGTTGCCCCCTTGACCAGGAATCCACCTTCGATATGGTGTTGCTGGATATGGTTTTTTCTTTCAAACAAATCAATGAATAAGACTTTCTTTCAGTCATGACTTTTCAAATAAAACGAACAGGGCCATATGCTTTTGTACAGTCAGTGAATTATTCTATCCAGAACACTGGTGGCACTGTGGCATTCTGTACAAGTCTGTATGTGCCAATTGTAAACGTGCACTCTAGATTATCTTAATCTCAAGAACCCCTTATTTTATTGTTCGGCGCCTTACAGTTCTCTGGATATATTTCTTGTGAATTTTCTGCGCTTTGATATTGCTATGCTGCTGTTTTCAGTTTCAGAAGAAGCTTGCGATGGACTTCTCTGGTCGTAGTATCTCGATTGTCGCGATTGTCACGCCCCCTCGGCCTGTATCATTCGTTTTTAGCATAAGAGATGTATACTTATGGTTTCTAAAAAAAAAAGAGATGAGTACTTGTGGATCTCAAGTAAAAGAGACCTGCTGTTGGAAAAAAAGTCTATATAACCTTTCAAACTATTCAGGGTAGACTATTTCACCCACGAACTATAAAATCGGATTTTCTAGCCCTTAGATTTTTTCAAAACCGGTCAAATAACCCCAAACGGTTTAACGGTGGTTTTGCTACAGCGACGGTGGGTTTGTCTTTTCCTTTTTTATTTATTTCTAGCTTTAGATCTATGCTTTTCTACTGTAGCGATGTGGTTGAGATGGTAGTAACGGCGGTTTTGGACGGTGATTTTACTACTATACTTTTCTGTAATTAATTGGAATAATTCGTAACTGCAGCTTCTATGGTCCAATTGTGGTGAAATTTTTATGGTGGGCTAATTATTGTATGCTTGAACTCTAGTAAAAACTTCATGCTCATTAGATCATATATAACTTAGTTATAAATTTATTTAGGTTTATGCTTGCTAAATCTATGCTTTATCTATAACTAATTATACATGATCCAATGAGTATGAAATTTTTACTATAATTTAAGCATACAATAATTAGTCCACTATAAAATTTTTACCACAATTGGATTATAAAAGCTGCAACTATGAATTATTTCATTTAATTATAGAAAAGTATAGATCTAAAGCTACAACAAAAAAATTGTACTAAAGAATACCATATTATGGGCCTGTTTGGGACTGCTCTGCTCCACCTTTTGTAGCTCTGCTTCCAAACTTTCCTACCAAACAGGTCCAACTCCACAAACTCTGCTCCCAAAAAAAGATGGAGTTTTGGTCAAACTCCATATTTTTCGCGGAGCTCCTCAGAGGGTACTCCACAAACCAGCGTTTCATATGTCCTCGTGGAGTTGGAGGTAATTACACGCAATTGCCACTCATTACACAAATACCGTTTCGTTCTATTTCCTCCCGTCGTCCCCCACCCGACGCCCTCATCCTCCTCTACTCCCGTCGCCTCTCTCCTCTGCTCCAGCCCGTCCTCCCCAAACCACCGGCGAGTGGCGCCCCATCCACTTCGCCCCGCCGCCACCGACGAGCGGCGCCCGGTCTCGCTCGGCCCCTCCACCACCGTCGAGTGGCGCCTGCCGGCTGCCCCTCCGCTCCGCGAGCGGCGGCGGCCGCCCACGCAGCCCCGCCGCCACCGGTGAGTGGCGCGCCTGCAGCAGCTTCTTCCTCTCTGCCACCGGCGAGCAGCGCCCCGGCCACGCTCAGCCCCGCTGCCTCTGAGGACGACCTCCACTTGCTCGCTTCCTACGACGGCCTCCAGATCTGCAACCCGATGCTCCAAGAGAACAAAGGATGGCCACGCTGTGCCCTCCGTCGGGTCCGGAGAGCTCAGGTGCGTTGGAGAACCTCTGGGCCATGGCCGTCCGCGGATATGGTGTTGGTCATGCTGATGATGGGTGTGCCAAGGGCATAGAAGAACATTCCACCAAAACCTCCTCACATCAAGGTGGAGCAGAGCTGCATACCAAACAGTCACATTTGCTCCAGGAACTCCACAGTGGAGCTACTCTATAGTGGAGTTGGTGGAGCAGAGCAGAAAAAATTGGAGTAGAGCCGTCCCAAACAGGCCCTATATGTTCAATGTATAGATCTACTCATGTGGAGTCTAACAAAATTGGATTTTTCTATTTTATGATTTTTCTATGATTTTTTAAAGATTCATCGAAAATAAATAAATAAAAAAGATAAAACCTCCATCACTGTATCAAAACCACCGTACAAAACCGCTTGGGGGGGGGGGTTGACCGGTTTTAGAAAGTTCAGGGGGTAGAAAATCCGGTTTTATAGTTTTGGAGGTGAAGTAGTCCACCATAAATAGTTGGGGGTTATATAGACTTTTTCCCCTGCTGTTGGGCCAGGTGACCATCAACCATCTGTGCAGTAGCCCGTGACCATCCAATTCTGTTCTTAAAATCTATCAAATTCTATAGGAAATATATGAACCCAATAAGTCTATCCGGCCCGGAGGAGGCCGGTGGCGTCGGTGTGGCCGCTGGGAGCTCCTAGCCGAGCAGGGGAGGAAGAGAGAGAGGAAGCCGCCCACGGTTCGATAAGTCGCCGCAGCCACGCAAGGCCAGTTGGCGCCACAACGCCGCATCGGCGTCGATGGTGTGGCAGAGGGCGCCACGTCACCGGTTAGCGCTTACCACGGTGGCAGGCCAGCCACGTCACCATACATGGCGCGTCAGCATGGTTTGGCCGCGCATGGACATTAGACGCGGCCAAACAGGTTAGATTAAAAAAAACTGTATTATTCTTAAAAAGTGTATTACGAAAAAGTTAAAAATAAAAAAGGAAAAATTGGTTTCATAGCATCAAAGATCAGGACATTCGAAAAATGCCATCAAAAGACGCCCGTCACGTAAAATACCACCGAAAGAACAATTGTTACCTTCAAACAACATTACATCACGATGGGTCTTTGTCGTAGTGAATTCATCCGTAGAGACACCTTTCTTCCTCAACCTAGTTGCCTGGTTGGGCATGAACACGCTGCCGATAGGCAATGACACATGCCCTACGTCAGGTGGCTACCTCA